AAGGGTAAATATTTTATTGTGATGAATTGTTCAGTGTGAATACATATTACTTGAGAACAAACAATGGGTTAAGTTTGGGGTTGTGATGACAATCATCATTACGTGATTTTTGTGAAGAAGTCGGAAGAAGAATGATTAAAAAATCATGTTAAAAGATGAAGAATTGAACAAAAAGTCAATACAAGGAAGATACAAAAATTTAGTGTAAATTGTGACGAAAAAGGTTGAAAACATGTGTGTACTATTGGATTTCATCCGCCCACGATCCATCCTATCGTGACTCAATGAGGCCTGCATCACGGTGCGATGGTGACCTATCGCAATGTGATAACACAAAATTATATCGTATTTTCGACTTGATTCACATGCACTTTTATATTTTTTTCCATTCATTTTATCTTGTTATGCCGGTATTTTTATTTTATTTCAGGTATTTATATTCCACAAGGCTTGCATGAGAAAAAAAGGAAGAAATGGCAAAGAAATGAGATGAAAATCACATTGTAGCAGAAAAATGCATGACAGAATACTGTGACGGTCGTCACAGCCTTCATGTCGGTCGCCACGCCTTGAGAATATGTGTGCCCCTCAGCACACATGATGTTACGGTCGACACATGTTTGAATATGTGTGCCCCTCGGCACACATGATGTTATGGTCGGAACATGTTTAAAAGATGTGTGTCACACGACACACAATTCCTGCAATGATCTCAACATTCTCTCCACGTCTGCAATGAAGCTCCATTTTCTCCACTTCACCCACTCACCCCATGATTTTCTGAACTTCTCCAACCATGATCTCCACTACTTGCCACATGAATCACAAAGTAACTTCCATGAGTTCTGAATATAAAAAAGGTCGAGCATTCATTTTTTGAGAGGATCCAAGTTTTGTACGCGGAAGCGCTTCATAGTTTTAGGCAGCATATTACTCATGTAAAAGTGGTAGTTTCTCACATTGAGGAACTACCACACTATTAGTGTAGGCCTATAATTTATAACGTTTGGATCAATCTTGCCGATATTATTTCAAAGATCTATTCAAGTTTCAAGATTTATTGTATTAAAGTTTTATTTAAGTTTTATTCTGGGTTTATTTATTTGCAATTATTTTAGTTTCTTGTTCTTATAATATTGTTTTACTATTACAAATCAAAATATGTCTATGTTAATGGTTAATAATTATAATTGCATGTTTGTTTCTTTAAGTATGTCAGGCTAAATAGTTTTGGGTCGGTATGTGAGGATCGTCATTCCTGATGGGACTCGGTAATAAGTTGGCTTAATATCTGTTTGAAAATTCAGTTTTGATCTTTGTTTTTTAAACTTAATTTAAATAGCTTTGTCATGAGAGTGAGAGGTTACTTAACACGATTTTTCCACGAGAGTGGGAAATTAACTAAGGTTCGAGTCGGCACTACGAGAGCGTGGGGGTCGTACTGGATAGTAGAAACTAGGCATTAATCCTAAACACAACGAGAGCGCTTTAGAATTAATTAGAACTTGTTCAATTTTCAAAATGCATTCCTTACTTAAATGGGCGAGCGAGAGCAAAATCTCATGGTTAAGGAATGCGGTTTTATTCAAAATCACGAGAGTGTGAGGTTCAGTCTTTAAATTGATATTTTCTACTAATCACATTTTTAACATCAGTATAAGCCAACGAGTTACAGAGTCCCAGAGGTACGCGAAATACACATTCCGGTCTCTCTTTTCATATATATATTTCTTTAATCTTATTTTATTTCACTTTTAGTTCTTAGTTTCCCCTAAATTAATCATTCATTAGCCTTAGCTTTACAAAGCGACAATAAATTACAGTAGGTTGACATTGGTTTATGTGGGTTCGACAATCTTTTATATTACTTCGATATTTTCATGCACTTGCGGACGCATCCCGATGCGATATTTCTTTTTTAGCTGACACACTTTTTTCTTATATAAAGCATATTTTGACCACTTTTTCAATGGTTCGTAATCAAAGAGAGCTAGAAAGTGATGGCTAGGATCATTCAAAGAGCGATTTTGGAGTATATTAGAGTCAGTGGAGAGCAAATTTTCCATAGATTTCTATGTTTCCCGAGATTAGGGATTTTTAAGATGAATCTAGTTTTTACTTAGTGGATCATATGTTTCTTTTAGATTTGTTGAGTACTTTTAATGTTATTATCTTACTTAAATTGTTCTTGTGTTTAACGCTTTTTACCGCTTACGGGGGTATGAATCAACCTAAATAATTAGAAATTTCTTACCGTTAGTCTAATTATCTAAACTAGACAACTTATTCAACTATGCAATGAATTAGGAATATGAATTTACAACTTGTTGCCAATGAATTAATGTACTAATAACAACTAATTTAAACTTGAATTAACCTAAGGAATTAGGGAATTACCGTATAACTTAGTGAGCTGCACACAAAAGAATTGGGTGTAGTGGTTATGTTAATTCGCAGTGAGATAATAATATGATTGAAATTCAACATATACACAGTTCATCAAGAGGTAAAAATAAGTGAATCTGATAAATAGTTCTAACTGCTTACGCAATCTTGAATCACTTCTTTTCAATTTCTCATTTCAAATTGATTTTCGAACGAAAATCCCCCATTTAATTACTAATTTTGCAACTAATTTTCATCTTAAAATTCAATCCTCGTGGAGACAAATCTTTTATTATTACTTCAACCTTACGGTATACTTTTCGAGAAGTTATCAATGATGTTTTATATTAATTTATTGTTCGATGAATTATATTTTTAATACTCTTTATTAGTTTGGTTTAATCTATTTATTTTTTGTTATGTTATCTATTTCAATCAGAATTCTCATATTGTAATATTAATTTTTAATATATTACATGTTATATATTATATCAAACCTGCTGTTTATTAGTATTTTTATAATCTTAATAAAAATATAATTTGTAATTTGAATATCTTAAAATCTATCAAAATTAAATCACATAAAATTGAATCGGATCAGATCAAATTTTTCTAATTAATCATTCAATATCGAATCGAACTGCAAATAAATTTATATTTAAATCTAATAAATTTTGCCTAAAAATTATCCAAACTGCACCACTAACGCCAAAGCATAATAGTTCAACTTAGGAGTGGATTTTGTCACAAAAATTCTTCGAACACTTCGATATGAAATTACCGTTCAAACAATTATGAATACGATGAAAGAATTGGTTTCATTTTACTCTAATTTTTATTTTACTTCTATTTTAATTTTACACTTTAATTTTTGTTTCATTTCTCTTACATGTGTAGGGGTACGTAGCTCCATTTATGTAAACAAAATTCTTTTATAATTTTTTATTTAAAAAAGCGATTTAATTTAAAGTTAAATAAAAAATTAAAATGAATAACTAATGTCCTATGTGTTTAAATGATAAATTAAAAGTGAATAATTTAATATTATAAAGATAAATCTAAACTTTTAATATAACATAAACTAAAACCAAACACTTTCAATATTACTAAATAAAATATTGACTTTTAAAATTATTTCTATTTAAAAAGTTATCCTAAAGAAGTTTTTCCAAATAACTGCATTTTCTTAGAAAATTTTTATTTTAAAATGATTATTTAAACAGGTGCGATCTCCTAAACAAATTAAATCGTGTATAATTTATTTCTCATCAACTTCTTATTGTTTACCACGTAACTATATATCACAATGACAAAGACAATGTTGGTTATGTTGTTCAGTGCCCTTTTGATTTGCTCACTATTTACATAAGATGTTGATGCCAGAAGTATCAGTTATGGTGCAATGAAAAGAGACATTATCTCATGCAGCAAAAAAAATCCTGGCTCCTGCACCCCGATTCCGGCCAACCCATACCAAAGGGGATGTAAAGCAATACAGAGGTGTCGTGGAGGTTCCAACCAATCCATGCACAAGAGAATGTGAAGCAAATGATAAGTGTTGCGTAAACCACTACGCCAAAAACGAGTTTTGGCACCGCTACATAGACAGCGCTTATGCAAAAGCGCTGCTGTAGGTATCCAAAAAAAAAAAATACTTTAGACAGCGTTTATTAAAAGCGCTGCTATAGGCCTTATCAAAGGCAGCGCTTTTTCTCCCTAAGCGCTGCTATAGGGTTTTAAAAAAAATAAAAATTAAAAAATTAATAAAAGCGCTGCTAAAGGTGTAAGTCTAAAAGCGCTGCTAAAAGGGGGTAAACCTAAAGCGCTGCTAAAGGGGGGTACCTTTAGCAGCGCTTCTTGAAAGCGCTGCCTTTGTGTAAATCTAAAAGCGCTGCTAAAGGGGGGTATCTTTAGCAGCGCTTCTTGAAAGCGCTGCCTTTGGTTTGTTAATTTATTTCTAAACCCCTAACCCCTAAATCAGAGTTCCAGAAACACAAAATTAAACCCATATCGCTGTTCATCTTCTTCTCCATTCGTCTCCTCCCAAACTCCCCCTGTCTCACTCCATTACTCCCTTTGTTCCCTCATCTCTCGAACCCTCCTCTCAACCGCTTCATCTTCATCGTTACCAACCACCACCATCAATTGTCAACCGTCTCCATCCTTCATCCCTTCGTCGTCCTCTAACCATTACCCTCCGCCTCGCATCAACGGCACAATCACCAACACCAGCAGCCTCCTCCGTTGCATCACCTTCGAATCTTCGGCCCACGGCTAATTCATTTTTTCAATCCAAGTAAGTGTTCCTATCATTAAAGCCTGTGCTTCTGGATTCATTTTTTGGTGTGCATCGTGACTAGAGTGTTTAGTTGAATGTAGGTGATTTATGTGTTGAGATTTTCTGGATTCTGTGAGCTTTGGGGTTTGATTTAGGAATTTAGGGTTCAATAGTTAAGTGAATAGTATTCTCTTCCTTCTTTCCATATTAAACCCAAAGAAATAAATGTCATGGTGATTATCTGCATTGATAATCTGCATTGATAATCTCTCCACCACTATCACTAGTGCTAGAACTACTGTTAGTATTGGCTTTACCGCCGCATATTCCGATTCCTATGCTTTTTTCTAGTGGTGTCACAGCACTAATATTCCACATCTCTTTCAATGCTCTTGCCTTCAATGTTGCTGCGCCCCTTAGAGCTGCATATATCAAGAAAATACCACGTTGCGATATTTCAAGTAATGGTGCTGAATCTGAATGAATGAATGAACAAAACTATACTTGTGGCAGCTGCATATCATGAAGAAATCTAAGCAGGGTGAGAGTTTAAGGATCAAATATAAACGTTTACGTTATCGTCATTTCAAATATGTATGCATGTTTGTTGCAACTTCATTGTTTTTGAAATTCCACAGGCAGCCACTGATCAGACCAATGTCGATATCTTCATCTCTTTATTATTTTTGTTTGAAAGATTGACAACAACCAGAACAGTTAAGAAATAAAATAATCGGTATGTATGTACGAGACAATATATGAGAGGTTATTTAAATTAAATTTATCTATGCTTCTGTTATGATGACTTGGGCTTATTCTCAGCAGTTTAGAGATTCTGAGTTGTAGGGTCTTGGATTTTCTCTTATTTTGTATGCTTGGAAAAATTAGTAGTTGAATACATGAGTTGATTCTGAGTTGTAGAGTGATGAATTGGAGTGATGTTTTGATTGTTAACAATTATGTGATTAGATTATTATATAAATATTTTAATATACTTCACTTTTTTATATCTTATATTATTCTACCATTCAAATGTTTGTTTTCTATTTTTATTTTCAATAATCACTTCAAAATTAGTAGGATGATTTAAAAAATGCCTCATTTGTTAATCCTTTCAAATGCTTTAGGCCATTCCTTAAAAAATCTTTCCAACGAGGAAATTAATATGAAAAAGTGGTGGTTAAGGTGATATATATGAGTGCCAATTTGATCATCTGATTGTTGTACTGAGGTAGATACAAGCCTGATATGGGTACTCTTCATTTGTGGAAATGTTATTGTGTTCGTCTGTAATGCTTGGATCCGGAGTGTCGTATCAGTAGACTTCGCAGAGTTAGCTTGGTGATCGGTGGTCTGTTGCGGGATCTACACTGTAATCCAGTTCTTGAGCTTCGGTTGCTTGCAGTTCTGTTTCGAGGGTATCGATCGGGGTAAATTTGGCGTTGGGCATCTCTTCGGCAGCATTGTGAAAGTATTCAGAGTGTTGTTATGTGTTTTTGTTTTTGATGATATGCTTTTCTGTCTAGCTGCGGGTACGTGGTTAAGGTGACATTTGCAGTGTTTGGTTGCTAACTGCTGGTATATGTGGTTTTTGTATCTGTATTAATTATTGTCATCAGTTTGAATAGACTATTGTTTCATTTTTTCCATTTTCTATCAGATGGAACAATATTGTTCTGGTTTGTATTCTTTTTAAGCATTCATGATGCCTTAGTTAATTATAGATTCTTTTTTGCCCTTTCAAAAATAAAATATTAATTCTGAGCCTTGAAGTTGGCTTTCTATTTGGTCAAATTACTGGTGATATTGAAGCTGTAAAGAATTCTTTGCGGCAGCTCAGTAAACCAAAAGGAGAAGCCCCCCAATCCAGCACTAAAAGTGAGGTCAACACTCACAAAAATACTACTGCACAGAATTGTTTTGATAATACTTGGCCATTGTTGTAGATGTACTGCTCTTGATAATAAGCAATGTATTATTAGTTCTTTAAGGAATCTTCTAATTCCATGATGATTCAATGTATTATTTAATTTAAGATTTATTTGTCACTTCCTTTTGTTAATTTAATTTTGTATATTATTTTAATCACATACAAAAGCACCGTCTAAAGGGGGTAATAGACAAGCTTTTCATGAAAGCGCTGTCTAAAGTGATTGAAAAAAAAAATTAAAAAAAAGCGCTGCTAAAGGGGGGGGGTAATAGACATCGCTTTTCATGAAAGCGCTGTCTAAAGTGATTGAAAAAAAATTAAAAAAAAAATGAGGAAAAGCGCTGCTAAAGGGGGGGGTAATAGACAGCGCTTTTCATGAAAAGCGCTGTCTAAAGTGATTGAAAAAAAAATTTAAAAAAAAATGAAGAAAAGCGCTGCTAAAGGGGGTAATAGACAACGCTTTTACCAAGCGCTGTCTAAAGTGATTGAAAAAAAAGCGCTGTCTATATAATATCATTTCTCATCAATAATAATATGTAACTCGTAACAAAAATATAATATCATTTCTCATATTATACAAAGTAATATTTTACAGTGATTTATTTTATGAGACAGTTTTTTTAATTTATTTATGAATAACTAATATATTTGGATAAATATATAAAAAATAAAAAACATCAGAAAATTATATCATTTAATATAAACTTGATCTAACCGCGAAGCTTATTATTTTTTTATAAATTTTAATAAGATATTAAATATATTCTTGATTTTTAATATTATACAGTATAAAAATTGTCAAAAACAATTATTGTAAAATTTATATTTTATTCGAAGTAGTAAGAATTCACTTCAAAATTATTTAAGAGGTTGAAATCGATCGCATTTTACGTAGTGTAAATTTATTTTATTATAAATAATTAAATATTTAATATATTAAAAAATTATATTAAAAAATTGAAAACAAAATCTAAGTAATGTGATTAATCTCTCACATTTTTCTATTTAAATATTACGATGTGTGTGTATTGTATTTTTTTTAATAACATATCATGTCGCTGATAAAACATAAATTATTTCATAAATATTATCGTGGAATGTGTGATCGCACACTGATGTGTCTATCAGATAATAACTGTAAATATATAGTTTATCGCGTAGTTTTGAAAGATTATTGAATCCACAAAAACTAATAATCAAACTAATGTTATCTATTTTGCAGTGCACAACTAAGGCTGAAGGATTAAAATGATAAGAACGAGAATAAAGGTATTAATCGCTAAAGTTTTGGAAATAATGACAAAACGAGTCTGGAGTATGGATTTCGCGTTCCTAAGGGACTTGTAGAATACGGTTGCTCATTATGAATAAATCTTAATTCCGTAGAATATATCGACTCAAAGACTCCGTCTCACACTCTCGCACTATTGACAAGAACAACACTTCCTAACCACAGAATTTTGCTCTCGCTTGCCCGTTAATTAAGAAATATAATTTGAAAGTCAATAAAATTCTAAACGATGCCTAAAGCACTCTCGCTGTTTTTAGGGTAGATGCCTAGTTTCCCCTATCCAATTCATTCCTCACACTCTCGCGCCATCAGACTAAACTTTAGTTTATTCCTTACATTCATGTCAAAACAATAATGCATACAATTTGGAAACTAAAACCAAAATAATCATATATTCATAATTTCGCGCCTATAGTTTTCTACAGAGTCCCGCCGGTGACGACGGTCTGTAAGAACAAGAAGTGTTTCTACATCTGGCCTTAAGATTTTGATGATAACATTACATGATATCATGGAGAACAATTGTATACTCTAATTGTTTCGTTTTAGTGTGCAGCTGCTACTATAATGTTTTGACTCTGGTATCAAGGCGTATGACATCATCAGGTTCTGAACATACACTACTGGAAGGAAACATGTAGTTACATGTTATAGTAGAAGTCAAGATTCTAGAATACATCTTCTGCAACGTGTCTTAGGAACGTTATACAAGAGTTTCTGATCGTAACTTGATGGTTAAGCTTTGGAGGCCTTCTAAAACTTTGCTTCTGTGTGTTACAAGTCCTGAATATTATAACAATGAGGTTCTTCTGAATAAGTTCTGATGATCTGAAGAAAAACAAGTTCTTACAACCAAGTTCTGAAGACTGATCTTAAGACAAGGTTCTGACAGGACAAGTTCTAAAAACTCCAAGACTTAGGTACTAACACTTAAGAGTGAATCTTCCATATCAAGCTTCAACGTTCAACATTCAAATTATCTGAAGCCTCTGAAGATAAGAAGAAGTTCAAAATAGTTAACATGTAATGGTGTACAAAAGGTGCATAAAGTGTATGTGACCTCTACACTCTAGGGTGACGTAAGGACAATCATTTGCATTGTATTGTCAACCACTCTCATTGTGACCGTTGGGAACAAACGGCTAGATTTCCAACTATATTTCTTTACTTAACAAAACTCTGCTTATAAGCTTATTAGAAAAAAATTATTCAGAGAAAAGGTGGAAAGCTATCAGTGAACAGTGACAGGATACATAAAGTATTATTTTTATATTATCTAAACTCTTACACCTTATTCTATATGTTGGGAACTAACTGTTGGTGCAGGAAAAGAGTTTTCTATCCTCACAGCGTTTCTCTCTCAAGGCTATAAAAGAAGATCAAAGATTCAAAGAAGAATGTTGTTGTTGGCCATCAAGCTAAAATGTTGTGGATGCTGAAGATGTCAAAGTTACAATGCTAAATATTCTGAAGACCACTACACAAAAATGAGAGAAAAGAAAGAAAGATAAAGAAGTAGACTACAAGATGCTAATCAACTTCTGATTACATACATCTTCGTAGATCTCAGAAAAAGCAAGGAGTTGTTGTTTGTAACTTTCTCAACCAGAAGATGAAGAAGAAGAACACTACAAGATGCTACTCATTTTCTGATCAAATCATCTTGATGGAACATTGTAATGAACACAATATTTGTTGCTCGTATTGTGTTACAGTTCGAATCTCTTCAAGTAAATTGTTTTAACACTAGAGTTGTTACTCGAAAATGTGTTAAACAATATGTGCTTAAATCTTTTGTGTAATCTGCTTAGTAGAAGCAAACATGTAAACACAAAAACCTTATCAACTGTCAACGATTGATTCCTGTGGTGACTGATAACGCGGAATTATATCGTATATTCGACTTGATTCACCTGCACTTTTATATTATTTTTCATTCATTTTATCTTGTTATACCGGTATTTCTATTTCATTTCAGGTATTTACATTTCACAAGGCTCGCATAAGAAAAGAGGTAGAAATGACAGAAAATATGTGACTTTGTAGCAGAAAACAGAAGAAACTGCATCAGAGGACTGTGACGGTCGTCACAACCTCCTGCCGGTCGCCATAGTATTTTTGTATGTGTGCCCCTCGGCACACATGTGTTCCGGTCACCACACCTTCAAAATATGTGTGCCCCTCGGCACACATGATGTTGCGATCAACACAAGTTGAAAATATGTGTGCCCCACGGAACACATTGCATGCCACTCGTCACAGGCAAATTTCAGTGTTAAACACGAAGTTCTCTCCAAGTCTGCAACGAAGCTTCCATGATTTTCTCAACTTCTCCGAGCATGATCTGCATTATCTCCATTGTCTCCAACTTCCCACTATCTCCACCTTTTTCAACTTCTCATGATCTCCACTACCTCTCACATGTTAACTTCCATTAGTTCTCTCTATAAAAACTATCGAACATTCATTATTGAACAAAATATTATTGTTAGATTTCTAGATAGAAAATGCAGTATGTAAAAATGCTAGTTTCTCACATCGAGGAACTACCACACCATTAGTTTTAGGACCTTTCATTTGTACGCTTGAATCATAAGATTGCTGGATTATTGAAGATTAATTTCAGTTTTATTTCAAATTTTCTATTTATCGCATTTACAGATTCTTTATCATATTGCTTATTATTATTATTATTATTATTATTATTATTATTATTATTATTATTATTATTATTATTATTATTATTATTATTATTATTATTATTATTATTATTATTATTATAATTATTATTATTATCATTGTTATTATTATTATTATTATTATCATTATTAATATTATTATTATTATTATTATTATTATTATTATTATTATTATTATTATTATTATTATTATTATTATTATTATTTATTGTCGTTCATCATTGTTAATTTAATTACCATGTCGTTCTTAATTGCAATTGTTATGTTTAATTCATTTTCATTTAATAATATGTCTAGCTAAATAGTTTTGGATCTGGTTTGTGAGGACTGTCGTTTTCGACGGGACTCAGTAATAAGTTGACTTAATATCTGTTTGAAAATTCAGTTTTGGTCTTTGTTTTTTAAAATTAATTTAAATAGCTTTGTCACGAGAGTGAAAGGTTACTTAACATGATTTTTCCACGAGAGTGGTAAATTAACTAAGGTTCGAGTCGGCACTGCGAGAGCGTGGGGGTCGTACCAGATAGTAGAAACTAAGCATTAATCCTAAACACAATGAGAGCGCTTTAAGATTAATTAGAATTTGTTCAGTTTTCAAAATGCACTCCTTAGTTAAAATGGGCGAGCGAGAGCCAAATCTCATGGTTAAAGA